ACCTCAATTTAAATAAAAAGTTCAAATTTTATTGACATATAATTTATACTGGCATTACCTTACCCACATATTTCCATAGAAACTCACCTATCCGACATTTGTTTTCAATATCTCTTGCAATTAAACAACAACAATCAGCTCAAAAATGTGGAAATAATAATTGGTTTTATTTATTTTTTTTTTTTTCAAATAAAAATTCACAAAAAAATATTTTAGTGGCAAGCAATCTTAATATTTATTGCAATTTATACACCTTACTTCCGTATCACTTTATTTATTTATACTAGTTTTTATACTTATTAATACCGGTATATATATGTATATGTGTTTATATTTTAAAATCCTAAGGTGAAGATTTATTAGCTGAGTAATTGAAGGAAAATAAAAATCGTAAATGGTACAAATAGTAATTGACTAAGAATAGAAAGTGATAGAGAGGGAGAGCGTGAGCGAGAACGAGCAAAAAGTGTGTGGAAATAAGTCACTCATACGCTCCGTTGGCTTTGCTTGATTTACTGTCGCATGGCACACCAACGCACGCAACGAACACAAACACACATACACACACACACACATAGAAACAGATGCCAAGGAAGCGACTAGGAAGGAAGCAACTGCAGTGGCGTGTGGCAGCAATTCGTTTAATCGCTCGTAATCGTTAAGGTAATTGGCCAACTGAGGAAGTGTATGAAAAATGAAATAAAAATCATAATAAGAGAAAATAGAAAACTTTGCACAGAATGAAAACATCAATTGAAAAGCAATTTCAGCGCCACATTGTGCTCGCCACAATTTTACTTATTTTTCAAAAAATAACTAGCAAAGGCAGTAAGAAGAGCGTTTATGTGATAAGGCGCGCTGAGAAAGAAGTGTGTGTGTTTGTATGTACTATGAAGTCATAACAAAAATGTTAGATTAAGTCTAAGATATCAAAATAAATTTGAGAGAAATGCTGCAGTATTTTGAAGAAAAAATGCGAAAACTGAAAGTCATCTAAACTGTTTGGCCGCTGCTTCTGAGGCAAGGAGATTATTTATATTTTTTTACAACTTATTTAAGCGCTGTCCGCAAAAGTCGTCAAGCGCTTTTTTTTTTTTTTTGCAGATCATTGCACGCTGTTGACTTTTGGAAAGTATGATTTCTTTTATTATATTACTTTCGTTCTTTTATTTTCATTTTTTTGGCTGCGCAAGGAGACAATATATATGGTTGATTCTAAGTGCCACCACTGTTAGCCAATATCAGATTTAGTTCCCTTTCTTCTCTTTCACATTTTGTTTATTTTTTTCGCTTTCATCATTTTAATTGGCTACTAAATATTGATTGTGGTTGGTAATTGGTGATTGATTCCTATTTATTAAATAGTCTTGATGCGTTCTAAGACCTTTTTAAAGTGTTGGTGGTTGCTTAAATTTTATTTATTTTTTTTTTTCTAGTAGTTTTGATATTTATATCATATATTAATTAAAATAGTGATAATAGTCGGAAAATAACGGTCAAAACTAATCAACAGAGAGGGTTTCGTCTTCCATCGGGACAACGCTAGACCACACACATCTTTGATGACTCTACGAAAACTGGGAGAGCTTGGCTGGGAAGTTTTCATATATCCACCTTGCACCATCGGACTACCATTTGTTTCGGTAAACGCAGAACTTTCTTAATGGAGTAAAGTTGGTTTCAAAAGAATCCTGTGAAAATTACTTTTCGCAGTTTTTCGCCGAAAAACCAGAAAAGTTTTACACTGATGGAATGAGTGGTCGACCAAAATGGTACATATTTGGTTCATTACGGTTCATTACATATAGAAATACGAAAAGAGTTTTTCGACTGCCCAATAATTCATGTATATTTTTATATTAAGCTTTTGGCATTTGTGCTTTACCCTCAAAGATTGCCTCAAAATATAAATTTACTATTCCAAATTTAAAGCAAACTTCCCAACTTTTTTGCATAACCAAAGTTGTGCTTTTCCCAAATGTAAATCTATTGTAATCTCCATTTTTCTCGCTAGTGCTTCCTTGTCTCTCCATGCACACCAGCAAATTATTTCTTTTCATTTGCATTTTTTAATTCGAAAACTTTTCACTTTATATGTTTTCTTCTTGTGCCGGCAACGCAGCTCACACTCGCGCCGTATTAAGTAATTCAAATGAGCCACATAAATATCAATTAATTCTGGCTTAAGTGGTGGCTAGAACTTTTGCTCTTTTAGAGCTTCTGCTGCTGCGGCGAAATTTTGTGCGCACAAAGCGAGAAAAAAGTGCGATTAATCAGCATTAGACTGGCTCGAAAGAAACCAAAGAAAGGATGCAGTAAGTGCACTCGAAGAAAGGAAAAAGAGTTGACTTTAAGCACTTGCTTCGTTTGCTGGTGATACTTAGTTTTAAGGTTTAATGGCTTGATATTTAATTTAAAAAAAATTTTAAATATTTTTTTTTTTTTGGACGACAAGTCTACAATATCAAAAAGTTCAGCCACAGAATTACGTAATTTATGAAATCTACAAATCTAAAGCGTGTAATCGTAGACAAAAAGTTGCATACGGCCAAATTATAATTGCAGCCATGTGCTGAGCGCAGCGTCAAACTGCAGCTTGCTTGAATGTCGTCAGCAACTGCAACGTTGTTTGGTGACACTGCACGCTGAAAGCGCCGACGACAATAGCTGATTTTTTAACGCCAAACTTTTCATTGCAGCACCACAAGCCAATGATTCTGATGTGAATCGTTTTTAGTGGAATTTGTGTGCGTCGGCAAAAGTTTGCAGCGTCTGCGTCATACTTACATACAGTATGAGCGTTGAACAAAGCCATTCTAAAACGGATTATGGCAACGACGCTAGTGAAATGCATGCGTACATATGTATACATAAGAAATGTAGAATATTTGTACGTGCTTTAATAGTTTGCTAGTTTCGCTGTTCGTCTGTCTCTGCCATGGCTCAGCACCACGACTGTCTCACGGCTAGACTGAAACAGCCGTTTGTGTTAATTTTAATTACACTTTAAAATTGGTCAGCAATCATGTCTCACCACTATGGCATTGGAAGTTCTGAAGTCGCGCACTATCCGAACCCGCTCAATGGCTTGTCTTTTACCCGCGCAACAGCTTGCTCTACTGCTGTAGGAGATTATGAAGTTTTAGGTGGCAATTTGTAGCGCTTGAATTATGTGTTCGTAAGCAACAAACTATGTTGTAAAATAAATATAGGGTTTGTCCCGAAAGTAATAGGACTGATTTTCTTTCGCCGCGACTGTACTTCGGAGCGTGCGCGCACCGACTGGATTCAGTAAAGGGCGTTCCTACCTAACGAACGAGCGGCTCATCAGTTGTTTCCGCGCTACTGAAAAGTCAGAACAAACGCTTTCATGCGACGTGTTTCTGTGCGTAGTGCAAAACGAAAGAGCAGCGTGCTTTAGAGTATAGCTACGCCATTAAATTCTGTGTGAAACTCGGTAAATCTGCGACATAGACGTTTGATATGATCCAGCAGGCTTACCCAGATGTTGCTTTAGCAAGAAGTGGTGTGTTTCCCAAGTGATAACTTCCACCATGAATTTATTCCTCCTGGACAAACCGTCCAAGACATCGTAGCCGATTGGAAGTTGCACCACGATAACGCCCCGGCTCACACCACCTTTCTTGTGAACAGCTACCTAACCAAAGCCAGCATCCCAACGGTTCCGCAGCCGCCCCGCAGCCCAGATGTGGCCCCCGGGCTTTTCCTTGCCTGAAAAGGCCGATGAAAGACAAGCATTTTGAAACGACAGAGGGGATCCAAGCAGCCAAGGTGGAGGCTCTCAAGGCTATTCCGGAGATTGCCTTCCGTGACGCCTTCAATGCTTGGAAAGTGCGCTGGCGCGCTGCATCGGCGCCGAAGGGGTCTCTTTTGAAAGTTTCTAAAGAATTTTAACGATCGGTTCCATAAATTTTTTTAAATCGACTCAGTCCTATTACTTTCCGTACAAATCCTGTACATATGTATATGTAACTACATTTATAGTAACGCTGATAAGCTGGGGCGCTAATTTCTGACTTAAATTAAGAGGCACAACTGCTGTGACAAAGAGATTTCGGCCTTTTCCGTAGTTCAAACCTAAAAACAATCTCGACTAGAACATATTGTTCTAACATAAAAAATAATCAAAAATTGACAAAATGACGACGGGCTACCGAAGTTGATTTTTGATCAGATCAAAAAAATGGTTCAATGTTTAAAGAACCTATATGCAGAACATGGAGAACTATAACCTAAAAATTTAAAAGTGATCGGAACACTTGTTTCCGTAACTCAAAAACCCTTAGAGGTATTCCTACAACAAAAACAGAACTGTTCACTTCGGCTGCACCGAAACCTTAATAAAAGTTTTCCATACAAGAGTTTGAGTTCGTAAATCAGTTTGTACGGTAGCTGTAAGGGTGCGATATCGACAGTACTGGCAAATGAGCAGTTTCTGGGAAAGAAAGCGATGTATGACAAATTTTAAATCATTATCTCAAAAACTACTGTATATACAGACAGTCAACGCTAAAACGTCTCAGCTCGTCACGTTGATCATTTATTCATCGTTTTCTGAGTGTTACAAAGCACAGGGCCATCATACGATATCATTTGAAAACAAAATGTTATTATATACACATGTTACTAAACAACAGCTAAGCGTTAGCGCACTTAAGCACAGCAAATATTTTAACAGAGGCAACTAAACTAAAACTAAAATAAACACAGACATCTGTAGATTTCCCTAGATTAGCTATGAATACCGATTATACGATAAAAACGTGTGATAAAAGACAATTAAACGCACTGCTCCATTGTATACTGAATGATTATTTTATATAGTTTAGTATTTTTTTGTTTTTTTTTTTTAGTAAAATTACAAATTTTATTCTGTTCACAACAATTGACATAGACTAAATTCGAAAACGCGCGTTTGCCTTCTACAAATATATCATTAAAATGTGTTTCTTCAACAAGTAATATATTGTTTATATGTATTTTATAGTAGATCATTCAGCAGTTGGTCATTGACACAAATATTATCATATCTTCTCATATCGAAAATTTTCATTTTCTTGTTTTGATGTTTGCATGCATATTTTAGTTTATTAGTGCGTATTATCTGGCATATCTACTACATACATACGTGACGATAATAAACGATTAATTCGGCTTTGTTTAACACACACGCACATTTCAAGATTATAACGCGTCGCCATCTCTTTAATACAAGTAGTCCAAAATAGATAATCTAATCTCAAATAAAACGGTAGTATAACATAGGTGGTATTAACTAGCTTGCATCTTCGTATTTGCATATAACTGCAAAGGTATCACCGCCCAAGTGCTCTGCCAGCCACTTATTCTTTATGACAGCCAGTTTAAGTGTCTCACATTTGAATTTCGCATAGAGATTTGTATGCAGCGTACGCCCCATACCTTCAATTACCAGCAAGTCAGTCTCATGTTTTTGTATAGCATCGCATAACTCAATCGGTAATGTACGCATATCCAAGCAGGGACCGCTCTGTCCATTCGCATACACTAATAAGTTTTGCTCTTGCTTTGCTTTTGCGAGTACGCTGCAATGTATGCAACATTTATCCAAGAGTTCGGACAGCTCCCCGCTTGTCACATCATTCAATGAAGGTTCGGTATTTGCACATAATAGCACTTTGGTGCCACGTTGCAGCAGTGCACGCACGAATGGCAGCATGCCTAGCACAACATCTACGCCACTATTGTCAACGAAAATAAGCGCACATTTATGCGCATTGCCACGCAACCGTTGCAACCAAGCGTCCAGGTTATCTATAAGCCAAGGACGCTTTTGTATACGCTCGAGCGCTGCATGCAAACCGAAATTTGTATCCTCATTCAATATACTCGCAACAGCTTGTGCACCCCAATCGAACATGTTACCAGCAAGCACACCGCGTACCAGCTCTGTCCAACGTGCTGCATTGTCATCGATGGCATCTAATTCTTCCAGCCGCTTTTTTAAGTTGGCAACGGCAGCAGTGTTTTCTAATAGTTTTTGTTGTTTCCATGGATCATCAAAACCAAATAAACGCAATTGCGTCTCATTCAATTCTAGCAATTCACGTATACCCAGCACAACATTGTTGGCCGCATTTGTTTCTGTATTTCTTTGGTATTCGTCCAGTTTTGCTAAATAGGATTTACGGAAATTATCCGCTCGTTCTGTGGCTGTATCGTCAATTTGACATTGACTTTCGGCTGCCTGTGTGGCAAATTTTGCAACCAAGTCACGAAAGCAAGGGAACCAATATGCAGCCGCCTTTGTATCTTTGTTCAAGTCAATTGTATCTGGTGTATATGTACTAGGATCTCTTAGCAGTGTATAACACTTCGATTCGCCCATACTTCTGACGTAGCTTAAATGAAACAATTTGTTTATACGCCTGATCATAATATATATGCTTTGCTGTTATTGTAAATCACAAAATACCTTCAACTTCCTAAAAAGTATCCAACTATCTGCACACCCACGATACCAATAGTCTTTTTTGCGTATGTGGAATAAATTTGTTTATTACTTGTTCTTAATGTATTTTTGGCCTTTTTTATATTTTCGTTCTTCTCGTTTGACGCTAATTAAAGAGTAATCACTTTTCCACAGTTTTATCAATATTTAAATAGTTCACTGTCATATATTTTTGCGATAAATCATAACAAAACGAAAACAAGTGATTACCAGCTGATCGGTGTTGCCACACGATTAAGCTTGTTTGCGGTTCACAGATTTAGGGAATTTGTATTTGAAGTATATTTGCCCTTTTTTGTTAATTAATCGAAGTGAACCTAATTGAAATATATTTTCAGAATTGCGTATATAGTTTTTAGAAGCTATTGAGATCCTGCTTTTATGTTATAAGCACATAGCATACAAATTAAATTTGAATAAGGCTTCGTATTTTTTTACTTAAAAAAATTTTCGTCTAATAAGCAAATATGGCATCCTTTTGTTAACAAAAATATTTTGTGGTTTCTGATCAATTTTATCATTTCATAAAAATTGTATATCACGCCACAACTTGTTATTATCACCTTTAACCGTGTGAACCTATAATAATTTCGTTCTTGCGGCTTTAGGATAAGAAGACTTATAGATACAAATTTTTACATATTTTTAAATAAAAATTTTAATATAAATATAAAACATGGTAAACTATTTTCTGAAAATGAAACATACAATAACTAATATAAAATGAGATGCATACTTTCTAACCTAAATACGGATTTTGTAAAATAAAATTAATTCAAAATTTTACACTTAATGGGTGCGTCTAAAGATTTTAGCTCAAGTTTGATACTTTAGTTATTATTTTTTTAATTTAGTACATTAAAATTTCATATAATAATTTCAATTACCCTTTTCCCAATTCCCGCCTAATTTTGCGATGAGCCCAAATATCTCTGCCATCACTGTATAAGACATATAACATTAACACATATTTCTGGCAATACTATTATGTGGCAGCTGTCAGCGTAGGAATAATAGCCAACTTCAAGTGACGTTTGGTTCTTTCCGGTTGAATTTTTGACAGATCAACAACTTAAAAATGGTACGGAATAAATAAATCGGATAATTTTATTACAATCCAAAAATAAAGAAAAACAAATTCAAGTGAAAAATGCAGTAATATGCTTGCTTAATGTTTTTAATGTAAACGTGCTGTGATATTTGAACTTTTTAACAAATTTAACTAAGTGTTTATATAGACAATATCGATTATCAAATACGATGATTATTAATATGCTTAAATTCTCTTTTGTACTTTCCAGGCCAAACGCACCAAGAAGGTTGGAATCGTAGGTAAATATGGTACCCGTTATGGTGCCTCCCTGCGTAAGATGGTCAAGAAGATGGAGGTAACACAGCATTCAAAATACACCTGCACCTTCTGCGGCAAGGTAAGTTTGCATCGAGCTATCTTTTTCTGTTTAAATACTAATTAATTTTATCTCTCTTCGAATAGGATTCGATGAAACGTGCTTGCGTTGGTATCTGGTCCTGCAAACGCTGTAAGCGTGTTGTTGCCGGTGGCGCTTGGGTATACTCCACCACCGCCGCAGCTTCCGTACGTTCGGCTGTGCGTCGTCTGCGTGAAACCAAGGAACAATAAATTGCTACATGGAAACCGGACTGATTTGCTCAGTTCATCTAGTAAATAGTTTAATTTACATTGAATTTGGCGCGGATTGTGCTATACCAAATTTCAAATTGGTAGTGTTGTTTGGCCGCCGGCTTACGGACACGCTTTGTTGTACAAGGAAAAAGAAAATATAAAAGGATTTTTTAAAACAAATGTGAAAAGTGTTGTGATTTTTGTGAAAATAGCAGCGGGCGAAGCTGAAATTTGTGGTAGAAATTAGATTTGGTGCATATTTTATGCAAATATTGTGAATTTCCGCTATTTACACGCAAAAACTTGCATATAGGGGCTAAAAACCAAGGATCCAACAAAAACGCGCTTTTTTGTTAGTGGTTTTGCATTAAAAGCTTTTGCATATTCTGACCAACAACAAAATATACATTTCAGTTTGTTACTATTTTCCATTTGCCGCCACTTTCTGTACACTCCTGGTGGCCTTGTGAAAATGCGAGTTGCACATTTTATGTTAAAAATCCCTGGCAGCCACTGAGCGCCACAGAAACATTGCCTATCCTTGAGGCGCTACTCTACGAACAGGAAGCACATGTGTGACCAGAAAATGTAGCATACCCCCAAGGCGCAAGTTTTGTGCGACACTTTCTGCACGCTTATGGTCGCCTGGTAGAATTCGGCAAAATTGGCTGCTGCATAAAATCAGAAAATCAACAGGGTGACTCAGATAATTTTTCTTTTATGTGTTAACAGGGTGACTCAGATGAATTTTTTTTTTTAGAATTTAATTCTTAGCGCGCGGTTATTTCACGCGATATTTTTGCAAAATTTTTTTTATTGGTAAATAAAACAAATTACGCAGCGTAGGTTGTAGGTCATTATTATTATTTTCATTTATTTCATTTCAAAAGTTCGTTTAAAATGTTTTTTCATTTTAAATTGTAAAATACAAATGTGTGTATGTGTACGCTTATTCAATACTTATACAATACGTGGAATCAAAAGAAAAATATTATTAACCAATTATTTAATTTGGCGGCAAATAAATGAAAAATGTGGACACACTAGCTAAAAAGGAAGATATTTTAAAATTAACTTTAACACTTGATATGGATATTTTGCAAGCCGGATCATTTCATAATGCGCACCATCCGAAAAAGTTCATGAAATAGATATAAATATGTATATGCATATAAAAAATCTTTAAATACAAAATTATAGTTATACAAAGAGATTTTTGCTTTTGAAGTCGATTGCACTTAGAAATAGACATTTGCTTTACAAATAATGTTTTGATTTCGCACACAAATATTGAAATAAATATTTCTTGGACTTTTTTTTAAATTTTGGTTTTTACAATTATGAGCTATAAAAATTACAAATTTTTATCGTACTTTTACAATACAAATTTACGTATCATTATATTAATATTTTTATCTTGCTTAAGGTTATTTTCAAAATTCTTTGAAATATTTTAAATATATTCATATGTACTTGCAGATCACTTAAATTTTTTTATGCATTTAAATTTAATTTATTTACTATATACAAACGATATTTGTTGTACGTGTAGATTTTATGATTCTTTTTTTTCTCTTATAGAGCAAATCTTTTGCTACCTCTTTTTTTTATTACTCTTCTATGATTTAAATATGTATGTATATATGCATATTTTTTTATTTATGTTATTATTGTTGTGACTTTTTATGATATTGTATGTACTATATTGGTTGCTAGTTTTTTTATGATTATGATTAGTTACAAATTGAGAGATGCAAACATTCTTGATTTTTGTTTTATAAATTTTCATTACTTGCAACTACTTATATAGGAACAGTTTATAAAAAGGAGTGTTTGAAGTGTTAACGGTAATACAAAGAGCGTTAAATGCTTACATTGAACAATAAAAAAATGAAAATGAAAATGAAAAAAGTGAAATGTAATTATAAACATAAATAGTGAGATGAAGAAAATCAGTTTTTATAAATTAAAAAATTGCTATTTTTTCAAAGATTTACTTTTGCAAAAGAATGCAAATCCAAGCTGTCGTAGGCGTATATATGACATACATACATAAAGAGTAAAATATGCGAAAAATAATTTTTGAAAAATACAAAGAATTTGTTAATGACAAAGCATTAAAAAAAAAATTTGAAAAATTAAAACAAAATATCTAAAAAAAAATTTTTTTAATTTAAAAATTTAAAAAAAATCAAAAATTTTTTTATATTTCAAAAAAATCTAAAAAAGATTTTAAAAAATTAAAAAAAAAATTAACAAAAAGTTTCAAATTTTTTTTATAAATTGTAAGTATGCTTAACTGCAAAGTGTAAGCCAATAAAAAAAATGTTTAAAAATTCGTTAACACATAATCAGTAAGAAACATAATGCAACTGAATTGGCAACTATTTTTTCAACTTACTACTTCGAAATTGTATAACAATATCATTTTATATAATTTTTCAATGTGCATATGTATATGTACATGTATATAATATATATAAATATTTTTCAATTTAATTAATTTTTTTGTAATTATTTTCGAATTGCTAAATGCTTTCGCAGCATAATTTTTTAGTACAATGCTTAGACACAAAATTAAAATTGACATATTCCATAGAATTTTCAATTCTAAAACCAATTTATATAAAAACCAACATAACATACAAAAAAATAATACAGCAAGAAATTACAAAAACAATAATTTTACAGCAAAAAATTAACATTATCTCAAAATAACAGTAGTGGGCCAACTACCTTGCTTTTTTTGCTTATTTTGTGAAAAACTTGCTGTGCCTTGGTTAGCTTAAATAAATTTACAAATACTTCGCTTGTGCATGCGCCCATTTTAGTGGTCCTAGGCATTTACATACATGCGATTCCTTGCCTAAATACATATTTTATGATATGATAAATGTTTAACTTTCTTATGATATTTTGTTGTTGCATTATACATAATGTGTTTGAAATCGTTTGCAGTTAATTTTTCAGTTAGTATATTTTTGGCTAAAGAAATTATTAATTTAATTATGAAAATCTCTTAACTTAATGCGAACAAATGTTGTGTTTTGAAACATTTTTGCTATTTTTTATACTGGCATGCGTTATTAAATTAAAAATATTTATTTATTTAATGTTAGACAAAGTTTATGAAATTGCTTTCAACATATTTTCTATTTTTTTAATTTTTTTTATATTTTTTATGTGTAAGATCGTACACATTTATATAAAATATATAAAAAACAAATGAAAAATTTTTAAAAAT